TCACAGAGCACACACACCACCACCCCTATACACACAAAACACCCCTCTCCCCACCCCAATACCACACAGGAGTTTCCTGGTAGAGAAATAGTAATGAGAGTCAGCAGAAGGCAGGTGAGGGGCTGCCCATGTCCCCACGACACGGGGGGTGGGGAGGAAGGGAGGTGGCGGCGCTGGTGCCACCCACACTGGCCACTGGCCCTGCCCATCAGTGGTGCCGGCGCGACCTCAGCAACAGCACCCCTCCCCCACGCCTCGCCGGGTGCAGGCTGCGGCTGCTTGGTCAGGCCCCTGGAAGCTGCGAGCAGGGACTGCCCCAGGGATCAGCTCCTCGGGAAACACACAGCTCAATGTCGTTTGCTTCGCTTTAATTAAAAAATGAAAATAAATACATGCCAGGGTCTTTTTCCTTTTAAAAATCAGGAAGGAGGTCGAAAGAACAAACCAGCACAAACAAAACCCAAGTCACTCCGCCACAGACCACGTCCTGGTGCGTGATGGTGCGCGCTGCCCACTGCCTAGCCAGGCCGGGGGCAGCTGGGAAGGGGACGTGGCAGGTGGTGGTTGGGTGGGGAGGGGACGGCCGCACGGGCCTTAGAAGTGGACCCACTTGTTCCAGTTGACCTCGTGTGGGAAGACTCGGCCCAGGCGGAGGGTGCAGTCCAGCGTGGGCTCATAGAAGACCGTGGCGCTCTCGCTCTCGCTCAGGCTGGGGCTGGGGCTGGGGGCCACCTCAAGCTCTCCCACCGCAGGCTTCGAGAAGAGCGAGACAGGCGGGGGCTTCCCCAGCAGGCGCTTCCTGATGCAGCCGAGGGATTCTAGACCCTGAGACCACAAGACAGGTGGACACACGTTAGCCCTGCTGGGTTCTCCAAGCGCTTAGGCAGCCGTCCCTGCGCCAGGGATCACTGCCCAAAGCAGATGACGTCTGCACGTGGCCTGAGCGAGAGATGGGAGTGGGGGCCACTGCAGTAAAGAGGATTTCTGGAGGTGGCAGAGAGCAGGGGCTGCACACAGGTTTCCAGGCGGGGCTCTGTGTGACCTGGGTGTGTGCTGGAACTTGGGACTTCACACCCCACAGTGAAAGCAAGCAGCCGGGTGGGCACTGTCTTGGGAGGGCAGGTGCCCTCGCCGGGTCCCCCGCAGCCCCTGAGGGCTGTGCTCCTCATTCACTTAACAGGCCTAATGGGTGTGTGAGCCTGTGACCTGTGTCGGAGAGACGGGGGTCAGACAAGACCCCTGGGACACGGGCCCTTTAGACTGGGCAGGAGTATGGACCCTGAGAGGGACACATGAGAGAGGAGACCCAGCAGTGGAGGCTGGAGGGCCAGGGAGGGCTGGGGAAGCGGGGCTGCACCCTCAGCGCTCAAGGCCCAAGAGGCCGCTGTGGAAGACGGACGCGGGGCACGAGGCTGGTCTGTGGGCCGACCTCCCTGCGAAGGCGGGAAGGGAGCTGCAGGTGATGCGGTAGAGAGCCCGAGGGCACAGCCCTCTGAGGGGCCCGGCCCTCTCAGCCAGGGGCCTGGGG